CGCGCGCGCGCCGCACGCGGCAGCAGCAGCAGCCCGGGCCTCCTCCAGTAATAGCAGGTGGACGCGCCTCTCAGTGATGGAGACAGCGCGACTCTCCTCCTCTCCCCCGCCGCTCCATTTTCAATTACGGAAGAATTGGTATTCCAGGAAACGTGCTAGTGCGCGGCCAGCATGTCCTAACGTCGCCGCTCCTCGCAGGACAAACAGGGGCCGTCGCCTCTCCAACTCCGGCTCCAGCTCCGGGTCTCCTCTGCTCCGCTCCTCTCCTCTCCTCCTCCTCCTCTTCTTCTTCTTCTCTCCTCCTCTTCTCGTCTGCTTTCTACCTTTTTTACGAGCTGCTTCTTGATGTTGCCATTGTCGCGGCGTGTTTTTTTTTTCTTTTCCTTTTTTCAGCCGGACCTCTCCCCCTCTTTGCAGCGCGCAGTCTCGTAGGCGCGTACTTTCCCTGCTCTCCCCCCCCCCTCCGATTCTTCTCCGTCCGACCTATGAGCGCGCACAGGCGGCCGACGCAGGGCCACGCACCGCGCTGACGGACGCGCTGAGCAAATCAGGTAGCGCTCTCCAAATAGGACTGTATCATAACAGGGCAACTGCAATGACATGAATAATGAATAGGCTTCTCGTGTCTATGCTGATGATAGGCCACTTACTGGACTGAAGGCAACATTTGGATATAGTCTCTCTCTCTCTCTCTCTCTCTCTCTCAATCACTAAAATCAATACCAGTGTCCTTCGGTTCCACTTGGACCATCTGTTTATAATCTTCCTTCATTTTAAACGAATGCAAGTGTCATCACAAACAAAGACAAAATAACTGCAATGGGGCAACACCGTGGGAGAGTGGTTTGTAATTTTGCCTTACATCCAAGTAGATAACTGTTTAAATCCCTGATGGTAAAACACACGGACGGGCCACTCTGTGCTGTGATTCTCATTGAAACCATTCGATTTTGTCTGTTTTAGCTGCATCAAATCACGAGGTTTGATTCAGACACTTCACTCCACGTGTTTGTACATTTTAGTTTTTGAAGAGAAGATTTCTTTTGTACTTTGGCAGTTATCAAAAATCTTCCAAGACCACTTTGTTTTGGGATTGAACTGCGGGTCAATTAACACATTGTTATTTCTATTTCTTTGTATCAGTTGTAGGGTTGGTTTTTTTTTTCTTCACAATCACTGATGTTTTTTGTTTTTTTTTTTACAATGAGACAAATTGGGTTAGAGCTTCTTCTTCTTGAAGCCGACCAAACTCCAGGCTGACGAGAGCTCAACACTTTCATGCTGCAATAATTACCCAGTTTCTTGGTGTGTTTCCTGTAAACAAAGGTAATCACCACTGCAGCGAAGGCATAATGTGAAATAATAAGCTCCGACATACAAAGTGTTGTCGACGCTGAAATGTTGAACGCACAAAAGGCTTTAATGAAGGTGTGTTTAAGGAATTCAATTATCAATTTAAAAGGTTGGTTTATGGGAGCAGATTGGCCGCCATTCATAATTGATATGATCATCATCACACAAACAGACATGAATATATAAATATATAAATATATATATGTATGTATTATCATTTACTGTAATCATGAACCTTCACAGTACAGATCACTGCCGTCATAAACACTACAGTATGTCGTACAAATAGTAGTATTTAACAACAATGGAATTCTAATGAGTAACAATAACACAATCAAAACAGGAACAATGTGTGTGTGTGTGTGTGTGGGTTGAAATGAAAAAAATATGCTAATTTAAAAATGGATATTTTTATTTATTAAAAATATTCTAATTATTAACACAGTAGTAGTATAGTAGACTACGCAGTACACAGTACTACACTGTACCTTTACTGCAAATAGTCTGAAAATAACAGTAAAATATGTAGTTTAATGTTCGGATTTCTGCTTCTGTTTGTTTTGGGTTTTTTTTAATATTATATAAAATAAATGTTCCCGGCTGAGAAACTGCAGAATGTCTGTTTATAAAAATGTGCTCGTTCCCCACGACACAGATTCTGGTATAAATAAATGAACAGTTACGGTAACTCCTGACGTTTAACGGCGTTCACGCTCAGGACCAAAAAAGTGAAGCCTGCGGGTTTTGATTCTCACGAGAACCGACAGTGAGGGTGAAACCTGCCTCTGAGGTGATGACAGTCGTAACCTGCGTGCATCCATCTTTGTATTAGCAGCGCTGTGTTTGAACAGACAGTGAAGGCAGCAGCAGCCACTGGCTCTGTTTACTCAGCTCAGTGTGAGGCACGATGACAGCTCTATAAAACACAGGTGAGACACTGCCACTGTTCAGGTGAATCCTCCAAATGTCCTAAAGATGTCAGTGAGGAGCAGAGCACCACCACCTTCATCACCTCACCCCCCCCCCCCCCCCCCCTCTGTGATTTCTGTAGCGTCACACACAGGAGGATAAACCCGTGGTCTGTGAATACAAAAGTGGACGTGGAGGTTTGGTCCCGAGAGTCAAGACTGGAAGAGACGCCTGATGTAGAAATACAGTTCACCAGCAGTAGGTGAATACAAAAATAACTACAGTACTACTACAGCAACTACTACCAGTTCAACATCAACAACAACAACAACAACTGTAGTACTAGAACTACTACAACGACAACAACAAAAACTACAACCACAGCTTTTACTACAACTGAAACCATAACTACAACAACTACTACTAGATCTACTACTACTACTACATCTATACCAACAACTACACGGACCTCTACTACAACCAACTTTGCAACAACAAATACATTAAATACAAGAACTACAACCACATCTACTAGAAGCAGCTGTACACACTACTACTACTACAATAACTACTACTATACTACTACGATAACAATAAAACAGTAAGGGCTACTACAACTACTGCTACTACTACAAGACAATGCTGTATTTGTACTATATCGTTCACTTCAAACACAAGGGAACTGCATGTACTTGACAGTAAAGAACAATAATGGCAGAAAAAAGAGAAAATTAAAATAGAGCAGGAAAAGTCGGAGTAGAATTTAACTACAATTTAAGTAAAGATATTGAAGTGTTCAATCGTGAGAAACATTTTTAAGGTGGATTTAAAAATATTCACATTCGGAGCTGACGTCAGTGATGGTAGTACTTCATTTTACTGCGACATCTAATACAAATAATAACAACGGGCCACACGGTGGAAGACGTGGATTGAGAACTTACCTTACAGCAGGTCATCGGACAGTTGCTGCGGTTCCATCCCAGGTGTTCCTTCATGTAGTTTGGATGTTCTTCCTGTGTGTGTGTGTTCTCTCCAGGTTCCTTTTCAAAGTCCTTATAAAATACACAGGATTAAATTCAGAGACAGCACTGGGTGTAGCTGTCTGTGGTTGTCTGTGGTTGTCGTTGTCTGTGGATGTCGTTGTCTGTCGTCAGGTGAGCGTCTGTGTCCCGTTCACCTGCAGACGTCGTGTTCACAGGATTCTCCAGCTGCAGAAACAGGCAGATGGACAGAGTGTTGCATAAGACAATGTTCTGCTGGAAAAACTCTGGTCCAGTGAATTCATATGGATGAAGTGCTGACACATAGTTCTGTACAAGCACTGAGGTAAGTCACCAGGACATGTCAGCCACAGAGCCTGGCAGCAGCCTCACAGTCGGAGTCACAGTCACAGAGGAAAAAGACCGGAAATAAGAAGACAAATGACTACTTTAGATTTAAACTCCCTGAAATCTGATCTCATCAGGACGGTGTGGGACGGATTCGAATTTCTTTTTTAAACACATGTAGAGAACATTTCTAGAGCCTCAAAAAGGAAAAAAAAAAAACCCACTCCTCTACTTCAGACCACAACATACGTCCAGAAACTGGAGAAGAAAAAAAAAAAAAGTAAAAATCACGAGTTAAGTTTCTGCAGCCGGTGGTGAGATTACACTCCAGCGGCCTCCACCGTCCAGGCTCTGCTCGGAGGTTGCATCATCTGCAGCGCACTGCATCAAACGGCTGAGATGGTAATTCTAAATGTTCCTGGGTTTATTGACTTTTCAGGGATCAGCAGTGCATGTGTGTGTGTGTGTGTGTGTAACTAAGTGCATGCAACGTGTGAATATTCATTCCCGTCCTGACCAGGAGCACTGATGTAGTACACAGGGATTACGTCCATAAATTAAGCCGCCCACACAGAGCTGTAGAAACGACTGCATCTTCTCCACGGCCTCCATGCATATTTATCAAGGTGGAGACGCCTTTGGACGCATTCTTACTCCGCGGTGGTGGGAAGGGAGTGAGCCGAGTGTCTGGTGCAGAGTTATCAGCCCCGTCTGCCTCGGCATGTCGGCGTGATGGGAGAAAAATGTGGCAGACATCAGAGACTAGGGGAGTGGGGGGGGGGTGGGGGGGGGGGGGGCTGGCTTTGGGCAGGGTTAAAGGTTTCAAACA